ACAGACGAGCTTACCTGCTTGTTGACGGTGAAGGCGATGGAAATGGCCACGAATGGAAACCTGTGAGAAGAAGCATCAGCTGCTGATCACAGCTCTTGTAATGCATGAGTGGTTCTACAAGTTCTAGCGACAGTTCTACTCCGGTTCAATGAGCAGTGGTTCTATGAGGTCAAAACAGTTATATTTGAGTCGTGGTTTTCCAAGTTCTAACTTCAGCTCTATCTCTGCAGTGGTTCCACTCCTGTGGCTAAAGCAGACTGGGGTTCTTGTTTTTTGATTATTCATATTATTAACTTGAAATTTGAAAAATCTTCCTTCACCTTTGAAACATTGCGGTACGTTTTAAAACACTGAAATCACAGCTGACAACTTAGTTCTTAAACACACTTGCTCTGTGCTGCCATGTTTGTGGTGGCTACAGATCCCTGCTGCTGCCTCTGAGGACACAGAAGCTTCTGGCTTTGATTCCAAATTCAGCAAAACAGCTGCGTGAACGGCCTTCAACGAGACTGGGAAGCGTTTCTATCTTTCAACACTTAATGTTGTCTACATGAATATTACGTTTTAGTAAAAGTGGTCAAATACTGTTTTGATTTGGTTGGTGAACCAAACCATGATGAAACCGTGTTCTGTTGGTAGAGGGTTGCCCTCTAATCAGACGGCTGCAGCTTCCTCCTGAACGTTGACAGCTGCCAGCTGCAGCAGCTTCCTGCTATGTCACCTGCGATCTCTCGGTAGCCATTGTTATCCTGACTCTTGATTTGCAGCGCCACAAGCAGATCTAAGTTTTCACTGATTGTGGACAATTGTGACTCAGGCTCTGTGTAGTGATGAGACCACCTGTCTGTGACATCACAGTGTGGGCGGAACCTCTCACCTATGGACAAAGTTCACAGTCCCATCAATGGGGTCGATGATCCAGGTGGGACTGTCGGTCAGCTCCAGATGCTCACCTGCAGCCACTGACTCCTCCCCAATGAACCTGAGGCAAAGGACACAGAGCAGAGTCACAACTAAAACACACAAGAACAGAACAAGAACGCGTTTTCTGATTCAAGGAAAGGAAAAATTTATACTGATTGTGAAAGAAAAGCAGAGGAAGAAGAGAAATATGATGACAGTAGAACAGAACCAGAGCTCAGGGTGCTGGTTCCTGCAGCAGAACCTGTGATGGTCTGCACTTAGAAAGCACTTTTCTACCTTAGCGGCACTCAAAGCGCTTTACAGTGTTTCTCACACCAACTGCTGCCATCGGGAGCAGCTTTGGGTTCAGTGTCTTGTCCAAAGACACTTGGACTGTGGAGGGGATCGAACCCGCTCTACCACTTGAGCCACAGCTGCCCTGTGCTGAGGATACTGGTTCCTATGGTAGAACCTGAGCGCAGGGGGCTGGTTCCTACAGTAGAACGTGGTAGAACAGAGCAGAACCTGTGCTGAGGATACTGGTTCCTGATGGCAGAGATCAGGATCCTCTCAACTCTCTGGTCCGTTTCTGTCACCAGATCCGCTGGAGAACTTTTCAGCTTCACCTCTTTGTGCTGCTGAAATGCCGACAGAACCACCTGAGGAAGGAACAGACGACACAAACACTGTTAACAGAGTTGACTGGCTTCACTTACTGACAAACTGAACTCAGATGTTTGATTGTTGTTGCAGAAACAGAAATGAGACAGACACGACTTAAAGCTGCAGCAGCTTCAGGTGTGTGCCAGGTGTGTATGTACCTGATGTTCGTGACATTCCTGAATGTTTTTATCAAAGTGACCCCTCCCTGAACCTGAATTACATCACCAGCTCTGCCTGGAGTTGATTGGACGCTTACAGCAGCTGCTGGGACACTATTCCTTGATACCTGTGACTCGGCACTCCTGGAACACCTGGTCCAATCAAACTGCTGCTTCAGTGTCTCTGTCGCTATTGAATGAAAAGCGAATAATTCCAATTCCCACCGGTGGTTGATTTGATTGGTCGGGACAGGTTGGACCCCCCCTCCCCAGTGACCTCTGTCTCAGTGCTGTGTTGTCATTGGTCGCTGTGCTTCTTACCTCACTGGCCTGTTTCGTGATGGAGATCCCGAAGTTCAGACAGTCGGTCCAGTCGGCCATGACAAGAAAAATGTGACAGAGTGACGCCTCCTGTCAGAGAGGACGGAAAGAAAACGGTTGTGAAAGAAGAATAAAAATATTAAACAACAACACGACAAACAAGAAGAAAAAAAATTATGACAACGAACGAGACACAAAAAACAAAGGTAAACAGTAGAACCTGTGGAACCAGCAGCAGCAGACCCTGTAGAACCTGTGGAACCAGCAGCAGTGGTTCCTGGAGGAACGAATTTCTGAAGAACTTTCTGAACTCCTCTGAACTTTTTTCTTTTATACATCTATCAGCCAATCAGGGCTCAGCTTCCTCCGACTCCAGCCACAGCCAGCCAATGTCAGCACAGCTGGAGCGTCAGGCTCCGCCCCCTCACAGCACTCCATTTCAAAACGTGTCTTTTTTAGAACCGTTGGTTCCACCGATGTTCCCCAAACAGCTGCAGACTCTCTGATGTCGGGGTCAGAGGTCACCGGGTCAACAGGAAATGGCTGCATGTGACGCAGTCAGCTGACTGAACAAACATCCTGTTCAGAGACGACCTCACCGCTAATTCTGCTCGCGTGGTTGGCCGTTTGCCATCAGTCCCAGAATCAGTGTGTCTGTGTGTGTATGTGTGTGCTGTTGTGTGTCTGTGTGTGTCTGTGTGTGCTGTTGTGTGTCTGTGTGTGTG